GGGCCAAGCCGTATTTCTGTGGGGGCGCAGACAAAATTTGGAAAAATGGAGGGCCATGGAAACTGTTAAGTGGGTCACAAAATTTTCACTCCTAAAATACAATTATTAATAATATAAAAAGAAATAAAAATGCCAAATGGTCAGTACATATAATAACACAATAACTCAATATCCTTGTTTTTTGTGTACCTTACTTAGAAGGGACAGAACCTATTGTACTTAAACCACAATCTTAGATCTGGGAATTCCAAGTACCGGTAAACAGGTACGTGCCTTCTCAGAGCGGGTAGAGCCCTAACGAATTATACAAAAACCTGCTTCTTCTCATCAGCCACAAGGATCTCACTAAACCTAAGGGACACTAATATTATTGTAATATTTTTTGTCAGGAGCATAATTATATACTGTAAATAAACAGAACATTATATAAGTAAAAATTCTATTATAAATAAAGGTTTTTGTTAATAACCCCCTTTCTTATTATCAATATTCCTTATGCTATAAACAAATAATAATTGTTATAAATAAAAGTACAGTTGATAAAGTACATATGTATAATCAATATTACATTTGTTATAATTAAACAATATGATGGGTGGGGGGGCCACAGAACTGAATGAAAGTCAGAAGTGGGCCACGAGCAAAAAAAGGTTGAGAACCACTGGTTTAGACCACAGTCCAGTGAACGCAGATTTCATGGAGGATACAGTGAACAGCCACCTTTTTCTACAACATAAACACAAGGAATAGAATAATTACCCAACATGAGCATAACAAAATATTGTAGCGTGTAGAGCCGTTGCTGTGCAATGACCACAAAATGGACGGATATACCGGGAACGTTTCTCGTTCCCGTTGCTAAACAGCACATTCTTAATAATGCAACAGTTGGACTACAACAATGAAAGACCTGTGTTTTCTATATGGTCCTTGCATAGATGTTATAAGCAAAGGACAAGGTCAGTGCAATCACTTCTATACGGGAATCGGTGAAGAGAGGGCTTGAGCCGGAAGCAGAGGAATACCAATTGTTGGAGCAGTTACCAGGAAACTTCTAATAACAAACTGATACCACTAGACTGTGTGTTCTAGTGAACTGTGAAATAGCGATTGGATCTGTTTCCGTCTTCAGGTGAGAAAGGAAGGCACCTACTCAGTTGGGTCGCTTACAAAGAGCTAATCTCAATCACTGGACCAGTGCATTGAATGAGTCCAGTGATTGAGATTAGCTCTTTCTAAGGGACCCAACTGAATAGATGTCTTCCTTTCTCATCTGAAGACGAAAACAGTTTCCGAAACGTCGTGTCCTATATTACCTAAAATTCTGGACGATGGAAAAAGTCCAAAACCCCAGTAAATTTTTAATAATTTGATTTAATTTAATGGAATCACTAATTAAATAAGATATCTTTGTGCTTTTAACAAAGAAGTATATCTATATATGTGTGAAGATAGTGCTTAAGTAGTAGAGCTCCGTTGATTACCGAATATTTCGTAACCTGCAGCTGACGATGTAAGCCTGCAGTTTATGTGCAGCGCTGGTTACGTATAAAGATGACGGTTTGAAGGCACCTGTAAACCTCTCACATTATGTTGCAGGTTTGGTTCCAAAACCGGCGTGCCAAGTTTCGTAAACAGGAAAGATTAGCCCAGCAGAAGGCGTCCCAGTCGTCTTCAACTGGTGGCAGTAGTGGGGGGAGCTCTGCCGCCGGAGACGGTGTGACGGGAGGCGGTCAACAGCAGGTTGTAAAGAATGAATCAGGGAGTGCGAAGCAGGCCGGAGGAGGTTCAGCGGTATCGGGAAATCCCGGGGGCGGCGCCGGCAGCAACAAGGATGTCAAACCCGGCACCCCCACTGCTACAGTGTCTACAACCCCAAGCAGTGTCTCTTCCAACAGTAATGATGTGAAGCCCATGAACGGTAACGGTAAGTGCAGTTTCCCATGTAGTGACTTTCACTGATGAATTCTTCACTTTCTCCCTTCATTTTTCGTATAGACAAAGCTTTGACAAGAAGTGCCTCTTCTTATTGCGGGCTGTAAAAATGTCCACATTAATCTTTAGATTTTAAAAGTGAATGAATTTATAAGGTTGTTATATTTTAGCGTCCTGTTACACTGATTCATGTTCATGGTTTATGCTAACCGTCTTACAGTGTATACACTTTTTCACCTTATTCTTCACTTCGAATAGTTTAACGTAAATAACACACCTGAAGATGGCACAGTGATGCCGAAACATGCAGTGACGTGAATCAGTGCAACAGGACGCTAAAATACAACATTATCCCACTCTTCGGCAGGAGATACAAAGGAAATCAGGAAAATTTTGTGCATATAAATCCAGCCGAGATTCTTACAGGTTATGAGGTCCTCAGAAGGCATCTATGCTTCTCCGAAACGTCAATTGACTTTAAAGTGCAGCATGACTTTATATTTCAAAAGATAAAACTCTTCAGGACGCGTCCCGAACACAAGACTGCATTGTTCTTCCTGGGAAGTCAGTTTTTTTTTCATCTTAATTACGAGAAGTTCTGCACTGCGCAAGTTGCTGAGAAACTGAAAGCATAAAAACGCCACTGGAGGCCCGCGACTCATGGATTGTGGTACAGTGAGTCAGTGCGCCGGCACAGAGACCTAAAGAGTTGACAGTAATGGAAATACACGAGCAGTGCCAAGCAATTTTCTAGATTAAACGTCAGAGTTTCTGCTGTTAAGGGTGCCTCTGTGATGCCGAGATATATAGCGTTCAAGCAGGAGCTACAAGAGGGTGGATGATCTCGGGGGTTGATGTCTAGGGGCTGACTGACTGACTGACTGACTGACTGACTGTCACAGTCGTGCAGCAGAAGGGATGCTACTGTAAAAAAGATGGACGAGGTCCAGTGGAAATCTTGAAGCTTCCCATATGGATGTCAAACATCCAGGCTCATCCTTCAGATTTCTCAAAAAAAGAATGCAAAGAGCGTGAAGAGAAAAGATATATCGATAGTCTGACAATATAGTGCCTATATGAAATACGGCATATCAAGGAAAATTGTGGAGGGATGGAGTGTACTTCTTTCTAGTTGTCAGGTTTGTAATGTTCATTCGATTTCTCATTGTTGCCTGTAGCCGCGTGGTGTACATAAAACTTTGTTGAAGGAGACAAGTTCATTCCTACAAAACTGATGTTCTTATAGTAAATTATAAACAGAAATGATTACGGTAGAGTCGTGATTATCCAAACTTTTTTCGTCTGCTTTTCCGCTTTATCCGTCACTGCTATCAGACACGATCTGTACGAAGTCGTGCTGCATTCAACAAATTAAAAATTCAATGTTCGGTTTATTTAATTTATATTTATTTCTTTATATAAGAGTTCTGTATTGTATCCTAGGGCTTCAGTGGTCCAAGTCCTTACGTTACTTACGAGGCCTATATATATATAGGCCTATGCTGATACGTAAATTAGTTAGTCTAGGAGCAGATAGTACCAAGACTTTAGAACGAATGAAGTGGCATGAGAAGAGACCGAACCAGACGTTTATCCCGGCATCTCGATTTTAGAAAAAAAAACTGAAAAAACGTCGCAATATCGGACAAGGCGAAGCCCGGCATAGAAAGTATAAAGGTTCGGCCACACATAGCGCGACGCACGCTACGTACGCTATGTTCGCTATACGAACAGAAAAATATCTCCCTTTATTGTCAATGTGACTGGCCACACAGACTTCCGTACGCTACGTACGCTATGTTCCCTATGTTAGCTGCGTCGCAGAGTGTACACAGCGTACGTAGCGTACGTAGCGAACATAGCGTAGCGCTCTGTGTGGCCGAACGTTAATACATCAGTGCTTAGGCCTCATCAGTCGTTCTTCTACAATTCATACGCTCCCTTCCTCTTACATAATATTTTTATTATGGTTNCAAATAAGGCATAATCTGCTGTACTGAGCCTGGGCTGACAGAGGCCTTGTATATATTATATTAAGATTAAATTGTAAATAAGTGTACATAGTGACAATGGACTAATACTGTAGACTATGACTGACAAATGTCAGACCCGACCTCTCGTTAGAGAGGGCGCCCCACATGGACAGGACAGTAACTTTCACTTAAAAAGTAATATCTGGTCATGAGCCTCAGCCGGGGCTCGACATGAAGACAGACTGACTGACGGTCAGTCACATCATGACTTTAACTTTGACTATGAAAAAACGAAGGAAATATACCAGATATTAATAATAAATATTAAAATGTTTTAAAAATATTTTTCTGTCCTGTCTGTCCTGGCCTTAAACGGCTTAAACATAAGTTTGTAAGCAAATTGTCTAGCTGTCCCCTGGAAACGAGCTTGACGGCGCGCATGCGCTCGGGTCTTCCTAATTTCAGTAATATAGCGTACCATTGAGCGACAGCAAGGATATGATTATGCATCCCGTATGACACAACTTGCACATGGACCGGCGTTAATTTGGAAGTCTTTAAGTTCGCACACGCGTAGGGTGTCCACATGTTCTGTGAAGCTGGCAGTTGCCTTGATGGCTACGGGCAGAAAGTGTGTAGAATGCGTGTGCATTGTGCGTTTACCAGAGGGACGTCAGGGACTCCGTTAACGAGGATCCAATCTCTTAGCAGCCGGCGCCGTCACTTGATTCGTTGGGAGAACACACTCCGTACCTCCTCCCTCACCCCATTGGTCGATATAATATGACGTCACTGATTGCACCCTCATGGTAAACTTTATCGACGACATCTATTCCTCTTAAGGAGTCACTCCCTAATGACGGACGTTTCTTAAACCTTACATTGTGAAACAATCTGTGCTGTAAATTGAAGGAATGAATTGAAACTGCATTGACCGATTGGCAGTTTGAGCCAGTGACTCACTGCCTGGTTGGGAGAGCGACGGTAGAGCTGGTTGAAGTGGTGACTGACTGGTTGATTGGGCGGATGACTACCTTCCTGAGCGTGTGACTCACAGACTGACTGACCGCGTGACAGACTCATTGGACAAGTGAGAGCCTGAGAGACTTACTGAGAGACGGACAGACGGTCCAGCATACTGACTAACCGACCAACTGCTTGACTGGATCACTAACTAACTAACTTCGTGGAGTTGAGCCCTTCCTGAGAAGTCGCCAGTCACGTAGTTACTCAAGAACTTCCCAACATTTTATGGAACCGGAAGGTTCATTACAGTGTTCACAAGAGCCCTCCACTCGTCCCTAGCACATGGGAGATCAATCCAGTCAATACCACCCCATCTTATCTCTGTCAAAATCAGTTTTAATATTATTCACCCACCTACTTCTTGTCCTTCCTAGTGGTCTCTTTCCTTCTTGCTTTCCCACCAATATCATATATGCACTCCTCGTCTCTCCGTTCGTGCTACATACCCTGTCCATCTCAACCTCTTTGACTTGATTACTCTAATTATACTTGGCGAAGTGTACAAGTTATAACGTTCCTCATTATGGGATTTTCTTCAACCTCCTGTCACTTCATCTCTCTTCAGTCCAAATATTCTCCTCAGCACCCTGTTCTCAAACACCCTCAGTCTATGTTCCTCCCTTAATATCAAACACAAAGTTTCGAACCCTTACAAAACCATTGGCAAAATTATAATTATTTATATTTTAATTTGTATGTTTTTGGACAGCAGACGAGAAGACAATGTCCTGGACTGAATGGTAGCAAGCATTACTCGAATTCGGTCTCCTATTCATTTCCGCTTGAATCAGATTTTGATTTGTTATCGTCGTTCCAAAATATCTGAAATGTACCACATTTTCAAAACTTCCTGTTACCTAATTTTTATGTCATGATTTTGCCCTGAATTTCGGTGATGAGACAGAAAACATATACTTCGTTTTCTCCGTGTTTACTTCTAGACCAACCTCCTTACTAGCATCAAGTAAAGTTTCTGTGTTTTTCTCTATGGTGTCTATATTATCACCCAGTAGATTCACATCATCGGCATAGGCCAGCAGCTGATGTATCCCATTTAATTTCAGTCCCACCTGGTTCTCCCGCACTTTCCTAACGGGATATTCTAAAGCAAAGTTGAAAAGCAGTGGCGATAAAGCATCTCCTTGTTTTCCTTAGCTTAGGTCGTTTATCCAAAGTATAACTTTCATCTACTGATTGGAAAGAAACTCTATTCAAGAAACGCCCTACACTTTTGCACCCGAATGCCGCAAGAGCCAATCAGAGCATTTCAGTTGTCATTCCTAAAACTGTCTTCCTTGAAACTTAAATTATCTTTACCTTGTCCTTCATAATTTTTCTCCTTATATCCTTCTTGTCCGTATCTGTTACACATTCCCCCTCTCCCAAAGAGAATTAGGTATTGAATAATCTGTCATTGTTAGAACGGACGAGAATGAATCTCAAAATTTGTATTATTCTGATAAATTTTGGCGCATTTAATCTGCAATAATAACAGACATGCAAATTATTTTTATTTCCCAGTGTTATCAACTGACGAAAACGAAAATTCCGCTATTATCTCTTTTCATTTACCAAGTTACGAGTTATCTATAACTTTAGTAACATTACATACATGTATTAATCTACATCAGACGTTTCGGAACCAATTAGATTCCTTACTTATAATTATTAGCAATATACAAATATAAACGTGCAGCTGTCAGTATGACGTCTGTTTGTGACAAAATGTCAGTTTCCCAGAGCTGTCTGATTCTGCTATTGCAGTCATGTGACACGTAAGTGTAATTTGGTCATGGAAAAGTGGTAATCAGCATAAAGACCCACAGTATGGGCCTACAGCCTGGGAACATCTAATGGTTTTGCTCCAGAAAGCCACAGATAATCTGACAGATTAATCTTGATTTGCAACAGCCCTTCATCTGCCTCTTACACAAACACGCTGAACGGTGACAATGTTTGTTCTCACTCCGTTGGGGTGGGATACTGCTGGAGCTGAGTGCTCAGCTTCACGCCGCTTTAACCCCGGGGAAAGATTCCCCGATACCCACTGGAGAGGAAGTTGGGTGAACCCCAGAACCGGTGTGGACGACGAGGAAGAGAGAAAATTCTTGTCCGTACCGGGACTCGAAATCTGACCCCTCGGTCGTCCAACCTGTAGCTAGTCGCTATACCGACTGAGCTACCCCGACTTTCTTCTGTTTCATTACAGGTTTTCTAAAAATTAATCATTGTAATATGATGAAAAATTGGTACAAATCGTAAAATAAAAGGTAGATAATGTTAAGGCCTACAGCTTTCATTTGTAACTTCTTCGATACGATTAATCGAGTATCCGTCTCCTCTCACAGTTCCATGGGGGGGGGGGATTCTCCGTAGAAGCATGCAGTCCTCCGTACATATAAAATTAAAAATGCTAAGGGTCGTGAGTCACAAGAGAGGCTCATGTTTTTGTAAACTTTTTTATGCTTTCCCTTTTCTCTTGTTTTTACCTCTGAGACGAAGAAAGAAAAAGCTGGGCGTGATAAATGGGGCAGACATAGCCTCAATGTAATCCCCCCCGCACCTCCCAGTATTTGGGTTTCCTCTTCTGTCTTTTTAGCTACAGAGAATGCCTCACGTAAACTGTTCTTTCTGCAGGCATAAAAGTAACAGAGCCCGTTATTTCCCACCTCGCCTTGCATTTGTCTCTCGCTGAAATATTTCCTTAACGACAAAACTCGTAACGAGTCCTCGGGGAATCATCGGAGATAGATTAAACTCTCCTGGATCCAACTTTGTTGGATTTCCGTCCGACACAGGAATTAATGGCACTACACAGAACTTGGAGACTTGGAAAAGTTTTATATTGGTGCTTTTCCGTATGTATCGTTCCCATTGTCTTCTACCTTCGAAATTCCTTGAAAATTCTGTTTTGAACATGACAACTTCATGTTTTGTTCTTGAATAGAGAAGGTAGGAGTGATAAATGACAAGCAGTCACTGACATCGTCCACTATAACTCCAGTCTCCTGCAGAAGTGTTCCAAAAATACGTTTGTAATCACCAGGGCCCGGATTTTGATGACCTGAAAATATTAAAATAAATGACCTATAAAATGACCGAAAAAATCCAGAAAAATGACCTAAAGGAGAAAAGAAAGAACACTCCGCTCCCATGTTATTCACATTTCAGAAAAAATATGAAGAAAAATTCCCTAAATTAGCCAAAAATGACAAGAAATATCCTTAAAAGTCCAAAAATTTACCAAAAAATTACCCCCAAAATGAAAAAAATTACCTTAAACCTAAAAATGTCAAAAATGACAAAAATTACGTATAAAATTTACATTTCTCTAACCAGCAGCTCATATCCGAGATTTATATATATAAGAGCATCGCGTAGGATACAAGGAAAAAAAGATGAAATGTCATCAAAATCCGGGCCCTGGTGATCACAGTTCTAATGCTATAGCTGCCAGAACACCTTGCAATGGCTGTAGTAAAAGATAAAAGAAGTAAAACTGTCCCTGTAACAGGCCGTGGAGGCCCATAGGATTGTGAGACGTCGAGGCTCCCATATTTCCTAGACAGTAGTAGCAGTACTCGAAAATACGGATATTCCATACCTACACGTAAGCCTGTAAGTAAGGCCGCACCATAGCTCAAGCGGTTAGTCGCTGGCTTCCCACCGCGGCGGCCCGGGTTCGATCCCAGGTCTGATCAAGTGGGATTTGTGGTGGACAAAGTGGCGCTGGGGCAGGTTTTCTCCGAGTACTTCGGTTTCCCCTGCCAATCTTCATTCCACCAAATTCTCCATCATCATAATCACCCGGGGCAGGCTACAATAGGCCAATCAGTGGCCGCCGTGCCGAGTGAACCCAGTTGGACTCCACCTCCCACTAAGCGAGTTAAAGAAAAGCCTGTAAGTAAGTTTATTTTCGGCCGTGGTTTCAGACCTGTCTTCTGGGTTGTGCGTGAGGGAAATGAGGAGGCTTGTGGCTAGAAGTAGCTTGGCAGTGATTGTAGCTGCGTTGTGCACACTCTAAATGAGGCATATGACTAACCTATACACACCCTACAGTTAATGGACTCGACCAAATGCACTGCGCATTCTCCTGAAAGCGGCCATGTCTAAAACCACAGACAGTAGTTACTGAGGCAACTCACTAAGATAATTAAATACTATGTAGTGATTCTGTCGTTTTTATTCGTAGCACGCATGCGTAGTGTTGCAGAAGTATGATTACTGGTAGAGCACGTTAGAATGCTTTTGTGCTTGATTTTGCTTGAAATATATCTCATGTGGAAGAGAACAGAAGAAATCCTGTTAATACCATGATATGACGGCTGAAAGCCGGAATGGTGGAGCCGGAGAAGACATCCGTTGCTGGACAATGGCTCGGTAATCATATTTCCGCGGCAAGGATAATTAACAAAGACCAGTTCCGTTACAACGAATAGCAGGGAACGAGTCGTTGCCAGGTAGCAAGTCGCTAAAGAAAGTCGTTCCCGTGACAACAGAGGAACTGTTCGAAATTGTGCCTTCTGTCCCGGCTGTGTGGCAACGGATTCCCTGCTAAGCACTAAGCTGCTGGGCAAATCAGACATCCTTTCTTTCCACAAGGTCACATAAGCAAGGTTTTAAGAGCAGCTGGGCTTCAGACGCGACTAATTACTATGTTTTCTCGCAGCTAAGCTCGTGGAAGACAGCGGTTCCGCGGGGGGTGCCAACAAGTGGTCCTCACAGCAGTCGTGCGGCACTCCTCTACTGGTGCAGCAGGCGGTCAGCAACAAGGTGTCGCTCACCGTCACCCAGCAACACCAACACCAACACCACGGCGGCGGGGGTGGAGGCGGCCTCAGCAACTCGGCCATCTCTCACCACCACCATCACCACCACGCGGCTCTCACTTCTCCTTTCTCGTCGCTTCTGGGAGCAGCAGCGGCGGGGGGCAGCCCTGCTAGCTATCTCTTGGGGGGCCCAAGTGACCCCCTCAGCCTCAACAAAGTCGTCAACTCCGCTGCCACAGCGAACCATCTTTTCTGAGATTTGTCCATCTAGGGGCGTCTTAGTGTGGCGCCATGGGGCGTGCATGCTTCAGAAGAATGTGCATGATGAAGCAGAACAGAAGGACAGTGTTTCCCAACTCTCGTTCTCCTCACAAAAAGATGTCAGAACCCTACAGCCTCGTATGTAAGCTGTAGGAGAACACGGAATTTTGTGTGTAACTCCGTTATTTAAATTCTGGATTTTGAAAGTGAGAACTCTCATCTGTTCCTTTTATTAAAACGAGAGAAATTCTCCTTCTCCGCCCGGAGTACGGTTGCTTTCATTACAAATATAAACGGATGCAACAGCTGAAACTTAAAAAGCAATGACTTTAAAATTTAGAAATGAATATGTACTCCGCTAATAGAGAGAGAATTGAGAACCAGCATTCGAATAACATCCATCAGTTTCACAGCCCTGGTTACTGTACGTAATGGCAAGAATACGGAATCAAATTTCATAATAACTTTCAGAGTTCCCTATTAGGTCCGCGGTAGGAGAGAGAGAACTAGACACCACGTGCAGCCGGAATGCATTCAGAATTATTTTCTTTTGGGGTCTGAATTTAAAATACAACGGTCATGCCCCAAATATTTCATTATAAAGAAATTTCACTTNTACCAGAACAATAATAAAATTATATAAATCATGACAATATTATTTGTAATTGGAAATATTCTGAAAGATATAATAACTTAAACTACGCACTGTTTTTCCATAGTGATTGACTCGTGTGACTTTTGTACGATTTTAGCATGTTGGAAGCTGAAGAATGGAATGTGTTGGTCCATAGCGGATAGGGTATTTCAGAAAATGCGTTCCATTTCGTAAATACAGTGTTATTCTTTGCAGTATATCGCTCTGTCTCTAAACATAAGTGACATTTAGAGACCCCCATCAGTGCCAAGCTCTACGCTTCTCAGCGAAGCTGGTAATCAAGAGAACAAGAGAATTACTGATGTAAATAATTACTCACGTGTTACGACATTGTATTATCTGCGAAATATTTTAAAGAGTCATACCTTGTTTTCTTACTTATAAAGCACTGTTTAGTGTGTGTCCGGGTAAACTTATGGATGGCTATGTTTCATCAGTTCATACGTAAACATTACTAGCAGTTGCAGGGTGTTTATCATAAGGCGTGCCTATTTTTAGGTAGCGTACATCTGGGTCCACCTTTGTCTCCACATCTCTTCTACAAGGTAATCCAGATGGTTATTTTGATAAGGACTGCAGTGATAATCAGCGTTAAATTATTGTTAGTGTCAGAAGAATATAATGAAATTTTTATTTTATTTTTAAAGTGTGAGTATTTGAGAGTGTTGCCACAGACAGGACGCCATCACATGACGATTTAATAAATGTTTCTGTGGCCAAATATGACAACAATGTGACCATTCTTGTAAGACTGTTTTCCTTTGTTGATGATTTGGTTGCCTCTCCATCCCGGTTACAGGTGGGCCCTCTCTGAGTTTCCGTCAGTATATCGGCGCCACTCTGTCGACTAGAAGTAACCTTATTTAGCCGAAGGAATGAAACAATAACCGTCAACCGTCCCTTCTTTACTTTAGAATAGGCGTAAATTTTAAATTATTCGTATCTAATGAAAAATGAAAATCATTCTAAATAAATTTGGATGGAGTGATTGGATTGAGAAATTTAAAAATAATACTTTAATTTCTTTCATATTATGTAAAGATGTTTCTTTGTCGTCATCAGATTTCATAAGTTACAGTCTGTTGTTGTAAATCTGTCGAAATAAATAAATAAATTGTAGATTTTAATGGAATAAAATGATTGCTTATTCTGTTATCTAAAATGACAAAACCACCTACAAAAATTCAACCTGAGGACTTTATTATTTTATAAAATTTCATGCAGAAGAAATATTTTGCAATGATGTGGATGGATGTGCGCATAAGAACTTACTTAAAACACAGGAATGTAATGTTCAGTTTATTCTTCTTGACATATCTGGAATTTCGCCGGCACACAAAATTGTATTGAAACAGACTGAAACAAGTGAACAAATTGGTGAACAGCAGGAAAACAGTATTCTGGTATAGCGCGAAAAGTGGTGAGAAAATATGCATCGTTTCGTCATATAATTTTATGATATACAAAACAAAAACAAACAGACTCCGTGGCTTTAGTCCGCAAGCGAACTATACCGACCGAGCGACCCCACGGTCGTTAATTGCGGTTTTCTAGACCGGAACTGCTATTTCCTTGAAATGACTCCTCAAATATCATCATGACGCTGAGTGGACCCCGTTCCAGACCCACTACTTCTCAGAAAAAATAAAAAAATCTGGTGGCGCCAGGAATCGAATCCGGACCTCTGGATCTGTAGCCAGGAACTCTGACCACTAGACCACAGAGGCGGTCAATTTTATGATATATAATAAGTTCTTTTGTTTCTTTTCACAGTGTTATTCAAAAAGTCTGGATGTACTCGCATTCAGGAACTTTTCCCACATTTACAGAAATTGAATGGTATGGAGTCGTCTTTGAAAAACGAAATTCAAATGGAAAGTAAATCTGCCAGCCCCTTTTTTTATGGAATTCGCTGAATCGTTGCTGTCCAGAAGAGCCCGCCATTTTACGACTTCCTGAGTGAGTTCAACGCAGTCCGCTCCTTCGCCTTTCGTTCGTCTTTATCGTCCCATTTACTTATAGGTCTCCTGAGCGATCTCTTTCTCTGAGGTTTCCGCCCAAAATTCTCTGTGTATTTCTGATCTCTGCATGCATCTTATAGAGTCACCTATTTAATTCCTGATTTAATGTACATAATAATGGAGGTATTCGTGAAATATAAAATTATGAAACCCCTCATCATGTAATTTTTTGCACCTCCTATCACAAATTTAACTCCAAATATTCTTCTCGGTGCATCCTTTCATTCTTCAACCACACCATGGAGATAACGCGTGTCTCTGAGCTCTGCGAACGTGTAGCCTTCCGCCATTGCAGAAGTGAGTGAATGTAAATAAAGAACAGTCTAGTAGACACACGTTCCTTTCGGTTACCAAAACAACACTAGTTATCTCGAGAAAACCATCAGCCGAAGTGAGCACAGTTTCGAGCGTTTCGAGGGCGTAATATGCCTGTGCATGCTGTTCGACATTGAGGCTCCAAGTTTAAACGAAATGATTTTAAATGCCGCCCTAGCGCTGCTATTTTACGTTTGCGGACATGGGTTCCTATTTCAGAGTTATTCTATAGGGAACCCTCAGTACGCTCCTGAATTATGGCACCAAACTCCTGGGACACTCTGTATATGTACAGATTTAGTACAAATTGTTCATTCAATTTCAAAACACTATATTTTCTAAAGCATTACACATACAAATATGATTGTATATGAAAAGAACCGAAAACTCACCAAATTAAAAATGTTATATGTATGTCCCTTTGTCCTGCTCTGAATGCACGCCGCACTGTAATAATAGACGAACATCTCGCATATTCCGACACACATAAACTCTTTTCCAGCTTCGTCGCAATTTTGTTAGTCATTGCATTTATGCTGCCATCTGGTGTATCATGATACATACTTGGTGAGTTTGCAGTTCTTTTCATATATCAATCATTTTTGTATGTTTAATACTTTGGAAAATATAGTGTGTTAAAACGGAATGAATCATTTATAGTAACTCTGTATATTAATGCTTCATGTAATGTGATGAACTTACACTGATGATCTAATGCATAGGCATAATTTTCGACTCTGCTGCAGATTTTCCGGTTTCCTCAGAGATATAGAGTTCAGATGCCTTAAAACAATAACGATTTTTTTTAATACAGGGTTAGCTTAAAGGAAATAGACAGTTTAAATGCTTTATGAGTTAAAATTTCGACCTCCGCTTTTCGTCTGTCTTCGTGACGTCAGAATCACATGAGCTTCCTTGATGTACGTCGAGCAGTATGGCCGCTAACCAGGTGGAGAAGGCTTTTCGCGTGATTGAACTTTCAAAAACAAATTCTGTTACTGTCGTACAGCGTCGTTTTAGAACACGGTATGGTAAACAACCACCAACAAGACAATCAATCTACGATTGTAGCAAGAAATTTAATGAAACTGGTTGCCTGTGCAAGGGGAAAAGTCCTGGGAGGCCATCTGTATCCGAGGAAACAGTGACTCGTGCTCGTGAAACGCGCTGCCCAAAAAAGTCGACAACACGTGCAAGTTTAGACTGTGTGGAATGTCTTGCGTAAATGTTTACGAATGTTGCCTTACCGGTTGCAGTTATTACACAGCCTCATTGAAAACGACAAAATGCTCCTTCACGCATCGCAGTAGCTGCTGCTGAGAAGCATTTGGGAAGAACTCGACTATCGCATTGATATTTGTCGTGTTACAAAAGGGTCATACATAGAACCCTTGTGACTTACCCATACAAACTTCAGGGCGTACTTTTCAAGCCATGTAAGTATCTCGGCCATTTTATTGAAACACTTCTTTCTGTAAAACTTTGAAAGTGTATATTTCTTTTACGCTTTCCTTTTATTTTATGTCATACGAATTTATGTTCAGTGGAAATATCCTAAGTTTAATTTCATGTTGACATAACTTTAATCAAAATAGAATTCAGAACACGTAAAAGTAGGGAATTAACTAAGGCTTCATTTATATACGTATTTGGTTCTTCCATCTGATCAGCTACGGTCACGTGGTGTGTATTGCTCAGCGACAGAAACCTACGGAGGATTCATAGTGACTGCATTAATCTATTCTGAACAAAAACAATTCTGTCAATGCAAACAGCTTCTGCTTATGCGTGTTTCTATAGTTCATTTACGTGAGGTCGCAAGGAATAATACTTCGACAAGTTTATTCGATTGTGAAACGGTTTGAGGTCTCGAATATGAAGCAGCAATGTGTAGATACATGGGATCATTCGAATTTTCCCTGATAATTTCAATTCCTTAGTTCTGTATTGAATTACATACTTCCTGATATTAGAAATAAGTAAGTCGCTTGGCACTTAAAATAGTTTGTCATTCTGTAAACGTGTTAATGAAGAGTTGATGTGTTTATATTATAATAATCCCACAGAAAACAAGTTACATACTTGACGTCGGTGTTTTGCTATGCTATTACTTGATCAAAAACCTAAATCTTTTACAGAAATTGCAACTGGTATTGTAGTTAATCTTGATATTGTAAGCAATTACATAATTGGCGTAAGGAAAACCCCACATTATATCACGTTATCAAGTGATATATAATTTTCAAGTTTATGAATTGAAAACCAACTTAATTTTTAAATTTAATCTAGGGAGAAATGTACTTGTGTACATTATTTCAATTAAAAAGAAAAAGCAGTATAAACTCACCCCCCCCGTCCCCATTTCCCAGTAGTCTAATTCCCACACGGACCGTGCGTTACCTCCCACCCCTTCCCCCCTACGCCTCCTCCCCCAATTATCTACACAAACACGTACAGGTAGTCTACGGGGGATTTTTATTTATATGTATATGAACAGGATTTATACTGGAACGCAGCCCTGCTGCACTGTAAATTAGTAAAAATTGGATATAAATCAGTGAGTCCACACACCTTCATTCTGATTAGCCAATTTTCGCATAGCTGGACGTGCAAATCAA